CGCTGTCATTCCAAGTCTGGATACCCTAGGTCTCGGTCCATTTGTTGCTGTCGAAGTAGTCGCTTGTCACGTCGGCCGCTGTAGTGTCGTCCTCATCCCCGAGGATGGATGAAACATTGGTGTACTGCTTCAATGTGCGGAAATCGAAGAAGATATGGTCAGAGAAAAAGTCGTTGCTAGAACCATTGGTCTTGAAGCAGTTACGTTCCGAGTCTCGAAGGGGAACATCTTCGTTAGAGAGGACAAAGGGCGTTGCGCAAGCTAAGTAACTTGGGGGCCTCGAAATGACATGGCGCTATGACGCGCTGAAAAGGAGATTAAGTGGTGACAGTTGTAAGAATAAAATCGTGACAGTTTCATCCAAAAGATCGTGATCAAGGCTTGCACTCATTCCATCAATCAAAGAATGAGGCAAAGCGTCAGCTCGAGGGAATAGGCGACAGCGCCTTTTGACGAAAGGATCACAGGTTAGGTGAGCCGTCCACCAACACACACACACATTGATGCGAGTACATAGGCAGGTGTCTGAGGGGTTAACCCGGTGGCGTGGTCGGCTCCGTGTTTGACCCCCAACCAGGCGCCGTACTGATCGGGTTAACTAACGCGCCGCTCCCGATGGAGCTCGGCTGCGTCCAAACTCAATTTTATCCGGGTTGACATGAACGCCGTGACTGAGCAAAGTGGGAACCCCGACGCACACCTGGCGGTCCCCGAGACCACTTATGATGCCTACTGCCCCACCGATAGATACCGTGGTCAATATACAGAGTGTGACAGATCGACTCGAGCAGCGGACGAATCCTCGTGACCTGATCTCGCCATTTTAACAGAGTAAATACACGAATTGCCAGGAGACGCCTGCGGATCTCTAGAACACGGAGGTTCAGGGGTCGAAATCAGAGATTTGAGAGCTGCTGGGCATGGGAAAAAGCCGTGGGAGGTCGGGGACGGCCCTTCGGCGATTGGACTCTTAGCTGCGGGTCGGGAGTATTCAGAGTTATTCCTACCCCTAGCTAGAAATTAACCTCGGATATCACCTGGGTTAGACCTTTCGTTCTTGAGAAGACGATATTGACCTAGTCAAAAGCGTCTTCCTAAAAGCTGGCCGTTGCGTCAGCTCTGGTGCCCATGAGAGTAATTAAGCCTTCCTGCCGTCTCCGGTAGCCGGCCCTGGCTTCAAATGAGGACTTGGTTTCTACATTGATGCTATGGCCAGACAATCTTAGCTAGCTATCGACTTGAACCCACACACACCATATCCACACATACCATATAATTAGAAATAACGACAGGCGCAGTCGGTCCTACCAGTTCATACTATCATAGTAGCGTGAGGAATACGTAAGGCAACGCTAAGCTGATCAACTGGATAGCATGTGCCCCTTTAGGACCAAGAACGACCTTAGGTACAACGGTACGTACTAGGCGCTCCAGACACTATGGTAGAATTGAGCTTCCGGACGAATTATATAATATCACTTGATCGCCCTATATCATACAAGGATGTTTCAAGTAGGCGGTTGAGCCGGTCGGGCTTGGCTCCAAAGTACCTGAGACCTTTCTCGCTCCTAAAGGGATAAACTTGTTCGACCCAGACCTCTACTACGTCCTTGCCAAGGGCTCGTTGGACCCCTATGCGGAAGACCTCTCTTCACGCTGCTTGTTCCATCGCTCTGACACAAATGCCAGTCTTCTACGACGACGACAGCGACGATGTCCTTAAAATCCGGCCGACATTTTCAGCTCCGCCTCTGTAGCACCTGATCGTCAGAATCTCGTATATCTACACTTTTGGAAAACACAATTTCTCGTGTATCAGACATCTTTGTATAGTCCAACATTTTATATAGCTCAGGTTGTCTAGTCTCGTATCAAATCCGGAGGAATGGAGGGCATCAGTCTTCTAATAAGCTTTTAGGGCCGTTGAGGAAGGTGGTCCTGATTTTCTATAAATTCCCACGTCCTGTCGCCAAATGATGGTTGTTGGTATTCAGAAATCCAGAGGCATCAAATCAGTAGCCCTCATTCACTACAACAAGCAAAACTTACCCTTCACAACGCTGCACATCATTCTATCATGAAGATCACCAGCGTGGCTATCATGGCACTTTTGAGGTGCCTCGATCCTTTCTGAAAGACATCATGACTCTCGACTAACACCCGTCATAGCGTCACCGTAACTGCTCAAACTGGGCCGTATTATCTCAGCTACTGTAGTGGCGTATCACGGGATCTGGGTAAGTCCCTCTGCAAGAAGAAGGGCGGTTATTGGGGGCAGCGCAATGACGCTCCCGCCCTTTGGCGGAGCCGAAACGACTACTACGTAGGCATCGTGACGTGGCCCCTTGTATTTTCGTTTGCTAAATACACGCAGTGTCTTAGCAAAGGCTGGTGGGGAACAGACCCATGCCTGAAAGAGTATGGACAAGGCTTCCACGTTGTTAGTACGTAAACCGACTGGCCAGCACTTTGGAAGCGCTCCTGTTACTGATCGAATTCCAGACGTCAACACTTAGGGGCACACTTGCCTCTATTGAGCTGCTTTGCGGACTGGAGATTATGCCTGCAATAGCGATCAGGTGGACTGTACTCACATGACCAGGCGATCAGGCGAGGGTGGTAGTCCTGATCACTAGTAACGCCTTGAGGGAGTCTGGAAACGGGACCTATGGTGCGCGCAACGTCTCGAACTATTGGGCGCGAGATTGGCTCGGGTGTAGTTTGGAGTCGTGACTTGGATCAGGGCAGGACGTACACAGAAGATTAAAGCAGTCCCTTTTGGACGGAGGAATCAAGTAGCCTTCGATGCTTTCAAATGGTCCCACGTTCACGGTTTCTCCGTTTGGTCTGGACGTTTGACCAAGTAGGTCAGTTCTGTTGGGGGTCAAGGGTCTGAGAAAGGTGTGGTTTTATTGGGAAGCTATTCTGCAGGCAGGAGGGTGCCTGGAACTAAGCTATGGGAGCTGCCAGGCACAGGCCACCTGGCAACAGGTGAATGGCACTGAGTGAATGCCCTGGAAGCCCCAAGTGAATACCGCCAACAAGTTCTAGGTTCATCAAAACTGGGGAAATAACTGCGATAAGATTAATGGCGAGTCAAGAGGGTGTGGAATCCATACACCACACTCATTTGGATGGGGGTGGGGGGTTCGTGCTATGCCAGCGTCTCAGTAAGATGCCATGATCACCAGTGATAGAGATGTGGTCAGCGAGATGATCGAGGAGAGCTGTAGAAAGCAGAAGAAGACAGGGACCTTTCGGTGGTGTCGAGGTCCAAGTATCGTACTGTGCATAATACAGTGCGCGGAAGATCAACACAGTCCACCTGCCATGACGCAGCCCTGGATTTTTCGCTGGACCAGCCGCGCCTGAGCTGCGACTTGGTTGTAGAGCAGAGAGCCTCGATCTCAATGCACATGTTCGCGACCTGCAAACCTTGACTCCAGTCTCCCCACGCGTCCCCACGGCTTTCCACCACAGTCATACGATACCACCAACACACGTCTGCGGCCAACCCATACGTTTCATCAACCGGGCATGAAGCTCTCCACCACATTGCATTGAAGCAGAGCACCCATCTTTGTCGCCCTCTTTCGCCATGGCTTCCGACCCTCTCTCCCCGAGCCGCGTCGAGACCGAAATGGCAGGAGCTGATGCTGACGCCGAGGCCGAGGCTGCCATTGCTGCTGCTGTTGCCGCTGCCGGCGCATCGCCCGAACACGATCCTCAGCTCGAGGACACGGCGTCACGCGACTCCGAAGCCGCGGCCGCCCCTGCGAAGGACGACGGTGCCGCACAACCAGACACGATCGACGACCCGTCAGCGGCACCACCATCATCCACCCGATCCTCGCCCGAGCCCGGCGAAACACACTCGGCCTCCCCAACCCCCAGCCCCTCCGACCCCCCTCTGCCCGACGAACAGCCTCCCCTGCCGAACGAGGCGCCGCCGCTCCCCAACGAGGCCCCGCCCGCCGCCGGAGACGACGGCTGGGATTTCCAGTGGGACGCCACGACCCAGGCCTACTTCTTCTACAACCGCTTCACCGGCGCCACGCAATGGGACAACCCGCGCCTCGCCGCCGCCGCCTCCTCGTCCACGACAGCCACGCCCGGCGCGCCAGGCACGTCAGCCGCGGCCACAGCCCTCACCGCGCCGCCGCCGCTGCCAGCAGACACATCGCGCCCGCCCGCCGGCGGCTACAACCCCGCCATCCACGGCGACTACGACCCCACGGCCTGGTACGCCCAGACGGAGCCCTCGGAGGCGGAGCAGCACGCTGCCGCCGCGCAGGCCGGACAACTGCTGGGAGGCGACTACGCCGCCGCGGTCGCCTTTAACCGCTTCACGGGCCAGTTCCAGGCCGCCGGGGACGGGCCGGATCGGCACTCGGACGAGGCCAAGAGCAGGCGGCAGATGAATGCCTTCTTCGACGTCGACGCCGCGGCCAACTCGCACGACGGCCGGAGTCTCAAGGCCGAGAGGTCGGGCAAGAAGCTCAGCAAGACGGAGCTGAAGCAGTTCAAGGAGAAGAGGAAAGCGAGAAAGGAGGAGAAGAGGAGAGCATGGCTGAGGGATTAATGTTTCTTCTTTTTTTTCTGAATTGGGTTGTCGTCGGGGGGTTTTTTTTTTTTCTTGTTGCAATTTTGTCCCGTCGCTTGTTTCTTGGGAAGGTTCATCGGCGTTGGATGCGGATGCGCTGACGGGGGTTGCGCTGCATGTACTGGTCGGGAGCAGCCTGGACATTTCGGCTGCTGTTGTGCTTCGGCAGGAGAATCACCGCAGGATGGTGCAGGAATAAAAAGTCATGAGACGCTCTCGAATGTGATGCCGGGATTGGGACAGAACTATACCCAGAAGCAACAGGAGAACAACACTGAGATGAGGTCGATCGAGCTAAGGGTTGGGGTATCAGAACTTGCGTGGTCTGTTTGTCTCGCCGCCATGTATGCAAGCATTCTATCCAACGACGCCAAGACGTACACATGGCTGCTAACATTTACTCTTCATCCTCCTCGTCGTCCAGATCGTCCAGGTCCATGTTCAGATCGACACTTTCGTCATCGCTCTCTCCTTCTCCTTCCGCCGCCTTCTTCTCGGCGGCCGCAGCCACGGGCCGCTCCGGTATGCTCTTCTCCACGCCATACTTCTTGTATGGCGGTACCACGTCCACGGCGTCCTCGAGCTTGCGCTTCTGAGACGCCAAAGAACCGCCTGCCACTTCAACGGTGGACGGCTTGTGCGTCAGGAAAGGGCTGTTACTGCTAGCCAGATCCTTGCCCTCGCCGCTCAGCACGGGAGCCGTCTTGGAGGCAATGCCAAAACCGCTGCCACCCTCGGCCTCGTCAGCCTTTGAGTCCTCGCCGCTGCCTTGCACTTCAATGGCATCGACCATCTCATCATCATCTTCGTCATCTTCTACTTCTTCCAGCTCTTCAAAGCCGGCCGTCATGTCGACGCCATCACCAGACGAGGGCGCTGAGGAGCGAATGTTGGACCGAAGAATCTCAACCCCTTGATCGCGAGGGAAGCGGCGCGACAGATGCGGTAGGATACTGGCGTAGCTTTTACCAGACTCGTTGATGTAAGGATTCAGGACACTGGCGAGCATGGCATCCCTGCTCTGGCTGAGCACAGCTGTCTGGTCGAGCAGCCCACGCAGGCCCGGCTTGAGGCGCCGCTGTGGGATGTTGGCGAGGAGGCTGGCCAGAAGCGTCTCGGCGATTTCCAGTTGCTCTTTGGCAAGACCAGTGGTGTTGGCGGGAGTCAAAGCTGCGTCACCTTGCTGTTGGGGGAGGAAGAGGTCAGCATTCGCGGCGATGCTGTTCTTCTTGGCGCCCGATTCGGGCTTGCTGGAGGGCGCGGGGGCTGCGAGGTGGCCCGCTTCCTGCTGCAGATCACGGCAGGATGCAAGCATGACGACGCCGACGGCGTCAATTGCCGGCTTGCTCATGCCGGGACCAACAATCGGCAGCATGTCGCAGAGGATTTTGTACGCGGCGACACGAACAATCGGGTTATCGATGCCAGACTTGAGAATCAGAACGACAATGTCGAGACTTTCGGACGCAAGAGGAAGGGCATTGTGTTGCAGTCTCTTGAAGAGAGTCTGGAGAAGCTCGAGTGCCGCAACGTGAATGCTGGCCATGATACTCCAAAGCTCCTCCTTCTCCTCTCTGCCAATAGCCGGATGAGTCTCGAGAGCCTGCTCCCACGTTTGTGTCTTGCCACGACGGCTGATGAGAGAGACGCGGCTGACAGTATCAAGGAACGCGCCGACAGGAATGACGCCAAAGTCTTTGGTAGGGTAGCGCAGCGAGTCCGCCATGAGCCGGAACAACCCGATCAGTCTGTCACCACCAGCGCGAACGCCCTTCCACGCAGGCAGCTGAATGCCCGAATCCTCCCCCTGCGGCGGGGCGTCATAGTTGACAGTGGACCGCGCGCGTGGCGGGACAGTATCCCAGCTCTCTTGAACAGCGCGAAAGACCTGGTCTGCACAGAGATGAAAATCCTTCGGCAGTTCTGCCGCAAACTTGGCCCATTCGTCGCTTGGGCCAGACTTGCCGGCGGTAGTAAAGTGGATGGAGATGACGACTCTTCGGCTTACGCGCTGCAAAGACTCGGGGACCAAGATGTCGTCGGAAGAAGTAGGTGCGAGATACGGCTTGATGACGACCCTGATATCCTTGTTGAACGGGCGGCAGGTGGCGGGGTAGAGAGGTTGCAGTGTAGCAAAGGCGTCCAGAATCGTCTCGACAAGGTGCAGCGGTGTCTTCAAGCGTTCGCCAACCGATGGCTGTTTCACGAGCTGTAGGCAAGCGTTGAAGAAAGTGGCAATGGTGGGGGTCGCGATCTCGCGCGTCAATGTCTGGAAGCCGTTGACGAGGGTGTAGATCTTGATGAGTGCCACCACACACAACTCTTTGACGGCGAAGGGGTCGTTTTTCTGCAGTTGTGAGTACATTGCCTGACGCCAGGTATCGCTCACAGTCAACCCACCTGAAGAATAGACAGAAGACTGCGGACCCATGGTCCAGATTCGCGCAGACACTCCCATCCACCAACATCGACCACGGCCTTGACGAGTGTCACACCAGTAAAACGGCCGGCAGCGCTTTTGCCGTTGAGAAGTGTCGTGATGATTGTCTTGAGCTTATGCACCAGCATGTAGGCCTCGTTCGCGCCATCCTTGGCCTTGGGATCGTGCGGCGTGGAGAGGACATCTCGGCACCGAAGAACGTGGCCTGTGAAAGCCGGTATCGAGTGAGGCAGCTGAGCGGGTGGTGTAGATGTGAGGCGGCGGCAGAGGACGCGCAGATCCGGGGGAAGAGACATGGCAGCCTTGATTTTGACCAATCTCCCAGGCGGTTGAAACCAAAAGTCGATGAGTCTGTCTCGGTGGCAGATTGCAATACGAGATGTCGCAAGCACTTCTTTCTGATCAATGAGCAAAACCTCTGAGGAACTGAGGAAGCAGCTGTTGAAACTTTTTTGGCAGCGATTGAGAAGTACCTCCGTACCTTTTTGCGGGACCTCAGGTCCACCATTTCTGATTGGTCAAAATTTCCAACCCCCCTTGTTCCTGCTCCTGCTACGGTTCGTCGATCGACAGTCCCGGTAGGTCCAGGAGGGAGCTCCTGCCTAAGCCCCTGCCGCCGGGCTGCTGACGGTGCCCGTCAGATGCTCCTGCTGTTTGTTGCTGGCTAGCCCCGAGCTCCATGGCAGGCACAACTGTCGTATCCTGCTTCCAACATTCTTTCTGCTGCCTCTGGCGAGCCCCCTTACGTGACGCAGGTCCCAATCTTCCCCGCGACAAAAAACCTACCGAGCATGCCACGACTGCAAACACGATAGCGTCGCGTCCTTGTTTTTCTGTACTTCTGCTGTACTGGGCATCTCATCTTGGCGCAAAATGGTGAGCATTGATGGCGTCCAGGGGACCCCCCTTCCGTGATGCCAATCTGGCTGCATCAATGACGTACAGCTTGGCTAATCCCTCGCCAACACCTCCAGCCCGACGCGACCAAAGCTGCTCACTACATCCAGGCCCTCGATGCTGCGAGGGCCGAGGGAAATTGGCAAGCTGTTCCGGAGTTCGTGCGCAAAATCAGGAAACATGCGCCGGATCGAACATGCCTCACCTTGACCGCCGAGCTCGAGTACGCCGTGTCAACATCCTCCAAATCCTCTTCGAACACCGCCTCCCGTCCCCAGACCGCACGACCTCAGACTGCTGCAGCACCTGCGAGCGACATCGACACGGCTGAACAGATCTCCAAACTTCTCGAGACTATCGTGAATGACGACCTGCACCCCGAAGATAAATTCCAGGCGCAAGTTGCCGTGGGCTGGGTGCACTGGACCAGCAAGGAATACCGCTTGGCCGCTACGAGACTGCCTTCAACCCTTGACCAACAAAATATCCAGGATCCCGACAACAAGGTGTCCGAATGGACGAGCGTCTGCTCGCTCAAGGCAGCCTACCTCAAGGCCGACTGCCTGGTCGTCAGTGGACAGAGGGAGGAAGCACTACGCATATTCGAGGCCGCTCTGCCGGCTGCCACAGCCATATGGTCGAGAAAGAGCGCCGGTAAACAACTGCGATACTGCTCCGAGCTGTTCTTGACCGAGTTCTGTATGCTGCAGAGCGAGGCTCTCCAGTCCAACGAGAGGTCCCTCCAGGACATAGACTCTCTGGCCTGCTATCGGTCCTGGGCCAGGTACTGGGAGGCCTTCACAGTTGTCGGTGGCCAGGGCTACAGAGGCTCTGTCCCGAGGCGGCGCGTCTGGAACGAATATTACTCCGCCCTTTCCAACATCCTCGACCTTAACCTCCCTTACCCTACAGGCAGCTTGCCCGCGATGACCACCGAGATGTCTCCGAGAAGCCTGCTGCGCGTGGAACTGAAAAAGGTGGAGGCCGCTTTTGAGGCTCTGCTGATTGCGGAAACCCAATTTCCGAAGGCTGATGAGGAGCGTGAGGAAGTCGAGGAGTTTGCCAAGTCCGTCATGAAGAATTGGTCCATTCTTTGTGGTCGCGGATGGAGAGAAGAAGACCTCGGTGAAGGCGGCCGTGAGAGCGTCAGCCGTGGCGCTTTGGATGTCTTTTACCGTGCTGCGACTAAAACCTACCACTCGACTGCCATTCTAAGGTTCATCTTCACTGTTCACCTGTCAGTCGCCGAATTCGACCTTGCGTTCAAAGCTTTTGATTCGTACTTGGAGCTGGTCAAGCACGGCAAGGCAAGAGTGGACAAGACGGGACATTCCGAGGGCGGACTCGATGACGACGGCACGGTCCTCGAAACAATCTCGCAGTGCATCCTAGCGCTTTGTCGGTACGGGGGCAAGGACGCCATTGAGAAAGCCAAAGATCTGGGTGCTGAGCTGGAGGACTGGATGGCGAGATTGCCGCAGCTGAGGGCAGGTGTCTCGGACGGAACCACGCTTCCGGAACTCGAGGAGACCACCAGCACGCTCCATCCCGAGATCTCACCCAGATCTGTCGCTTTGTCATGGCAGGCGGTGGGTCTATCACATGCCCATTGGTCCCGTGTTACATACGACGCCGGCTCTCGAGTTGAACTGCAAGCCAAGGCGATTCGATGTCTTCGAAAAGCAGTCTCACCAGAGCTCGGCCGTACTCGCGACGTTCGCAGTCTATTTGCCCTTGGCCTTCTGTTGGCGGAGCGGAGGGAGTTGACGCCGGCCATTGAGATTGTCAAGACCGCCTTGATTGCGCACAAGTCATCAGACGATGTCCAAAATCACTATCATGGCCCATACTGGCAACAACGCTCGCTTCTCCCGTTGTGGCACCTGCTTGCCTTGTTGATGAGCGCGCGGCAGGACTATGCCATGGCAGAGAGATCGTGCGAGGGCGCGTTCGAGCAGTTTGGCGATGATACAATTCTTTTCGGTAGATCTAAGGAGGGATTCAGGAGCGATCATCTGAATGACCTCGACGAGAAGCACGCCAACGCACACAGCGCAGTTGTGGACGAAATGGATGACTTTGAACGTGAGAGCATTCTCGAGGTCAAAATGACGCAGCTTGCCCTTGTAGAGGTCGTCGAAGGTCCTGAATTTGCTGTCAATGCTAGCCACGAGCTGCTCTCCTTCTTTCAGCGGCTTTTTGGCGATGTCAAGCCTAGCAAGCCCACTCTCAACTTGCCCACAACGACAGAGGTACCGAAGAGCTCGGCCGGCACGCTGCGCAGTATTAGGAGCAGCATCTTCGGCGGCCGATCTGAGCGCACAGGTCGTACTTCCAGACGCGCGAGCCTCCTCGAAAGCGAAAAGTCCGTGGCGCTATCGACACGGCCCCCTACTTCGCAGACTTCTGCCGGCGTTGCGCCGACCATCCAGGTGACCGGTGAATCTGGGCAAGTGACAGAGCGCAAACCTTCTCGTAGGTTGAGGGGGAGAAGCGAGTCTGGCAGGCGCAACAGCCTCAAGAAAAGAGAGAGCAGCAGCAGTCGGAAGAGGGCGCCTAGCCTCGGCCCCCCTATTCACTCACCCACAGTTGTTGATGGCGAAGTCTTTTTCACTCCTACGACCGAGATTCCCTTGACAGATTTCCTCGGCTCTGCCAACGGCGGCAGGCAACAAGCCTCAGGATTCACAGGACCTCGGGGCCAGACCCTCAATCATCTCGACTCGTACACATCCCAGGCTTCCAAGACAACCGCATATTCCTATTCAGAAATCTCCGCAGATGCAACATACACCATCACCAATCCTTTGCCTGTCATCAAGTTTTCTCAGGAAGTGCAGCGGAAGCAGCGAACCACCCTTCTCGTTAAAGTGTGGCTGATGATCGCGGGTTTCTATCGAAGAGCTGACATGTTTGAAGACTGCCGGGGCGCTGTTGGAGAGGCGCAGAAGCTGGTGCAGGGACTTGACACGGAGCGGAGCGCATCGGAGAACGGGGCTTCGTACCGAAACGCGGGATGGGCGGAGAGAAAAAGTATCGACGAACTGTGGGGTGACGTTTGGGCAGAGGTACGGTCCCATGGCAATGAATCGACACGAAGAATAGGACCAAGACTAACCTCTGCATAGCTCGGCTACCTCTCGCTCGCCAAAGAAGCACCCTACGACGCTCGTTCCGAGTTTGAGTCCGCTCTGACGCACTTCCCCAATCACCCTGCGGCCATTGTGGGCCTCTCCAGTATCCTCCTTGATATTTTCACGGAGCAGATCCGCCCACCGCCCACCGTGCCCAGCCTCTCCATCGAAAACGGACTCTTCGACTCGGACCTCACCCCTTCGGCGTCCCTGCCAAGTATAACAACACCAGCTGATGGGCTCCGCTCCGAGCCGCTTGGACTGGGTTCCGGCAAATCAGTCAACGCGGAACATCACGCCGAGTCCTGCATCATCCACGACAAGGACTCGAAGACAGAGGACGATGACAAGCTACCCGCCCCTTACAAGGCCAGCTCGCTGCCGCTAATCGACCGCCTCGCGGCTCGTGATCGCGCGAGCGGCCTCCTGACGGGCCTCACCAAGTTGGGGTCCGCCTGGGACTACTCCGAGGCGTGGTTCGCGCTGGCCCGCGCGCACGAGGAGAGCGGTCTGCCGGAGCGGGCCAAGGAGGTGCTCTGGTGGTGCGTCGAACTCGAGGAAGGCAGGGGCGTCAGGGAATGGCGCTGCCTGGGCAGTGGAGGGTACGTCCTGTAGGCAGGCCGCCTGCTCCATATCCTAGTATATCCTAGCGTGCGTAGCGCAGCTTCTGTTTTTCGAACATCGGGGGCATTATTAATCAATTGACGTGATGCAAGGAGCGTTTTGAATAAGTAGCATCCTATGGACATGGACATGAATGTGGGATAGAATCGTGGTCATGTCCCTTGGACTTTTAGAAGTTTCTAACACTCTATATCCCATGGCAAGAACGCCCAAGACATCACCAAACCCTGTCTCCCAAAAAGAACATGACAAACCTTGCGCCGGCACCGATGAAAACATGACAGAAAAGAGGGGAATTCAAATGCAAATAAAACCTCCTTCAAAGAAATACAAACAATCAACAGATCACCATGCGGACAAGCCGGGTGGCAACAGAGGATACTCTTCCCCTTCAATAATCTCCGAGCCGAACGGATACCGCGCGTCCAGTTCCGCCTCCGCCTCTTCCTTTGCCCCGTCTCGTCGCCAGACGGCATTGCACTCACCGGGAACGTACTCGGCGGCGTCCATGGCGAGCGTCATCTTGACCTCCGGGCAGTAATCCCAGATGTGCTTGCGTAGGGCCGGCGTGCCCCAGATCGGGCCGTGGAGCATGACGCCGCTGCCGCCGGTGTGGTAGCCCATAGGCTCGTAGAAGCCGTCGCGCCAGCTGTCGAGCTCGGAGACGTATTCCCCCTCAGCCGCAGCATCGAGCGAGCTGTTGAAGGCGTCACTGCCGCTGCCGATTTTGATGTGTTCGCCCGAGTGCATCTCGCCGCTGAAAGTGAGGGAGACGGTGCCGTTGGCAACACGAGAGCCGGGTCGGTGGGCGAGACGCTCGGCGAGCCAGACGTCTTCGGGTTCAGTGCCGTCGACGCGGACCTGTTCACGGAGGACATCGATCATGGCTGAGACTCGTCGGATAGACAGGCCACCGTTGCCACCCCAGCGACCGGAGGGGTTCCAAGGAGCGCCAATCCAGTCGTATTCGAGGAAGTCGTTGATGTTGTGGCGACTGTTGGCGCAGAGAATGCTGTCGGTCTGGAAGACAAGCAGCCACTCTGCGGGACGGAGTACCGTTTCGTAGAGCCACAGGGTCGTCAGGAAGCGGGAGATCATCTCCTGACCGGCGGTGCTCATGTTGGACGGGATGAAGGTGAGGTCAAGCTTACCAGAATTGACATGCTCGCGAATAGCCATAGACTGGTTGATATGCGCGACGGATGCCTCAGAGCCCATAAAGCGGAAGCGCCAGTCGGGGGGTACGACAGCCATGAAGTGCAGCATGAGGGGGGCTAGTATAGGATTGGGACGGTTCTCAATCAGGAGGGCGACCTTTGAGTGGTTGAATGGCGACTGGACACCATATTGGAGGCTGACTTGAGGAACTGCCATGGTCTTGATGGATGGCAGGGACAGCCATATTGTCAGGCCTCTGCTCACTATCAGCACATCGTTCGGGGGTAAGGGTACATGGCGATGTGATGCGACTGACAGAAAAACTACTAGACCACAGGCAGTTCTCATTCGCTTAGTTGTCATGTTCCATAGTGCCAAGAAGGGGTTATGAGGCTCGTCGGGGGTGGACGGTGCCCTCGAGGATTCCATTTTGTGATGGCGTGAGTTACTACTGGTCCCGCGCCGAGCGACCAGCAGCAGCAGTAGTACAATGGGTTCGATGCTGAGGGGAAGATGGAATGAGGTGGATACGTCAAGACAGACCGTCTAGAAGGGCAGGAAGAATTAAAGACCACGTCGATTGGAATCTCAGGATCCGGAAATGGGACAAGTTGATTGACAGTCAGGATGTGGCCAGTTCAGTAGGTTGTCAGAGAGCTGGGAGCTTTCCGTCTGATAGTGAAATGCCAAGAAAAATGAGACGAAGGTGCCCCCCAAGCCCCCTGGCGGCCGCTCGCTCCTTCCTAGTCGCCCGCCATTTGCTGTTGGGAAGGGACCGTGAGCGTTTCAAGGCAGGAATGCACTTGTTTGGTGATACCCTGGAGTGCAGTTGCGGCCAGGTGGGGTGGATATGCCTGCTGGCTCCATTTCGATTGCTCCCTTAATCGCCCTGAGCGCCACGTTCGGGTGGTCGATTCGGGTACTTTGGAATACATCTTGGTCCTGGCCTACGGGGTGGCATCTGGCCATTGTGGCTGGAGGTCGTGGATTGCAGCTGCCTGACGCTGATGTGTCCTTCACGCTGAAGTAAGAGAAGCGTATTCTCAAGGGACATTCCCTCTTGATAGCGACTACCAGTGTACCCAAGGCAAGGTAAGGGGAGCAACACTCAAAATCGAGTGTACCATGTATGTCTGATACACCCTCCATCCAGAGGTGCCCACATGTAGATAGATGTACATGTAAGTAAGAGTGGCCCACATTTCTTGATGACTGCTGAGTAAAGCAATTGCCCCAGGTACAACAGAGACAACAATGGCATGTACGAAGCCACACTTCCGTCTCATGAGGATCCCTCCTGTCTGGTCGCTTTCCATTTGCCCATCCCTTCTTCATTTTCATCTAACGAGCCGTTTCAAATGATGAAGTGGTGGTCAATCATGCATCCCGAAGCGTAACACAAGTTGAGGCATTGCAGATGAACAGTGTGTACCTAGGTAGAACTAAGATTAGTCACTCGAAGTAACTTCCCAGCAATCAGGTTCAACCCCTGCGCCTCCATTCAACCCTTTGCTCCCAATCAGGAAGTGGCTTCACACTCCCTGGCTCTTTCCACCCCATCAGGACTGTTGCTACCTTCTCTTGTTGCCCGCAATGGCCTTCTTCATTCTTGAGGTCGCTCAATATCGACCTGCCAAAATTTGGATGTATCCAAGTCCAAACGCCAGTCCCTGGTCTGACGAACATACACTCGTGGATGGGGATTCGAAACAAAGGTGCAAATATCGGCCGTGAGCATTCCTCCCTGATTGTTTCATCTCCTCTAAGTTTCGACGATGTGACGCACCTGGGTCCATGCTCCCTGGCCTGTTCTCAACTGCTGCCAGAACACCATTGAGACCTATGATCGCCCTTGAGAAACATTCCTTCGCGACTACTCCGAACTGTTCTTCCTATGTTTTTCGTTTCCTTCTTCATCACGTCTGCGCCCATCGCATCGAACTGATGTCTGTTTCATCGCCATGACCATCGCGACAAGTAAAGCGGGCAACTTTGCCATTACCAAGAACCACCTCCTACTAGCACTATCGCTGGTCTTGACGTATGTTCCTCTTCGGTGCCCCTCCTTTTGATCTACCACTGATCGACGTGGAGATGGTGGTTCGCACACATCCTCCCTCATTATCAGCCAGCCATTAAGGCTGGCTTGTCTTCCAGACTGCAGCAGGCCAGGCAGAAAATACCCAGCATCAAGGTCGACTGGAACCCTTCTGCCGACCCGCGCGCGCGATTCAATCAGTCCAAGGTGGCCCTCATGATCGAGCCCCGCGTCATACCACATCTTGTGCCCCAGATCCTGCACATGTCAGCCGTCGCTCCACCAGACTGGCGGTTCCTCTTCATCGGCTCCAACGAAAGCGTTGTCAGCGTGGCGAGAAGCTTTGCAATCAAGAACCAGCAGGTTGTAGGCAAGCTCGATCTCATGGTCCTACCTGAGCCCTGGCAAATTGACACGAAGGAGCACGTCTATCGCCTCTTGACTGACATGCGGTTCTACGATGAATTTCTTCCAGGAATCGAATGGATTCTCAAATATGAGCACGACAGCATTCTTTGCTCCAATTCAAACTCCAGCCTGAACGATTGGCTGCACTGGAGCTGGGCTGGTGCGTCACGGTGAGTAGCTGCTCCTTGACCGAACCAAGCTCCAACCACTGACCTGAGTTCCCAGAACGGTCGATGACCGGTTTTCAGGCAATGGAGGCCTAAGCTTGAGACGCGTCTCTGCGATCAGGCGCGTTCTTAAGATTCAGGAACGATACAACGATACAGACCCAGAGGACGAGTGGTTTGGGCGACGCATGTGGATCCTGCCCAACGCCAAGGTCGCAGCCAAAGATGATGGCGTGCTTGCAGTCGAAGACGTATACAAGGAGAACCCCATGGGTTTTCATGTCCGCGACGGCGGCCAGTTCTTGACTAGTGATGTCTGGAAGAATGCTACTCAGCGGCAAAACATTTTCAACTACTGCCCCGAGCTCAGCCTCATCATGAACATGAAGCTTGAGCGAGAGCGGTGTCCAGGCGATGACCACGAAGGGCACATTGGTCCAACACCATCTCAGATTGCAGCAGCGCAAATGGCCAAGATAAAGGAAGAGGAAGATAATAAACTGAAGAAGGAAGAAGAGCTACGAAAAGCTGAAGAAGCCAAGAAGAAGCAGAGCCTCTCCGAAGCATCCGACAAGACATCAGCTCTCCCTCAACTTAGCGCATCACGCAAAGTATCTGCGAGCTCGGCGACGGCGACGGCGACGGCGACGGCAAGGGCGACGGCAGTCATCTAGCCGCGACAGGCCACTATATGGCGTTTTGTTTCATTCAAGGATTTTGAGGACATCATCGGCGTTTGGCGCAGGGCAGATGGACAGGTGCGATATGATTGGGCACTCCTCAGATGGTGGAGAATCGTGACGGTGTAGCCTTCGAGGGTGTGGGTTTCGTCTTGAGATGTATGAACCAGTCAGACATAAACGTTGTTGTTCAGAACTATGAAGGAGACGCAGTATGCTAAAAACTCTAGGCAAACCCTTCACAGAGAGTCGCTGGTTGTGCTTAATTGGGTTCTAGGTTATGTCATCTTTCTCGCCTTCTAAGAAGTCCTCAAGAAAAGCAACAACCAAGTTAAGCATTTGGCCCACGGCGCACATGGAAGCCTCAACAAGTCGTGTCATTATGGTGCGGGTAGTCTCAATGCGAAAGCAAAGACGATGCCTAGGTTCGAACCAAGTCGAGCAGTGTTTCCTACAGCTTGCTCTTCTCGTTGACTGAGGCACACGACGGCGGCGGAGACTCCGTCAAATCCTTAGTGATATCCCCAATGCTGTTGATCACCGCGACGTTCATCAAGAGGTCCAGATCCGCTAACAAGCCCCCGAGCACATGACGAATGCCAGACTCGCCCATGATGCTGAGCCCCCAGATCCAGAGCCGCCCAACGAGCACAACATTGGCACCTAGCGCCAGCGCCTTGACGATATCCGCCGCAACCCTGACGCCGCTGTCAAACGTCACGACGAGACGGTTTCCCACGTCATCAACAATCTTTTCCAGCGCGGCCAAGATCGCGACAGCGCCATCGAGCTGCCGCCCCGCGTGGTTGCTGACGACGATGCCGTCAAACCCGAGATCCGCCGTCCTCTCGGCGTCGTCGACCTGCTGGATCCCCTTGATGAGGAAGGACTTGCCGCCGCTGATCTCGCGCCACGTCTCGCGCGCCCAGACGGTCTTGTCCCAAGACCAGGCGCAGCCGTGCCAGATCCTGTCGATCCACATGACGGCTGCCTCCTTGGGCTGTTTCGCCGGATCGATGCCCTTTCCCTGGAGCCGCACTTGAAAGACGGGGTCGGGGAGGCCGAGCTCGGCCCCGATGCGGCGGTCAAAAGCATAGTTGAACGTCGCGGCGTCGTCGTGCCGCCAGCCGAGCTGCCACGTATCCGTCGTCAGCATGTAGGCTGTGCATCCAGATTCGTGGGTGCGCCGAAGCAGGGAGACGGTCAGCTCATCGTCATGTGGCATGTAGAGCTGGAAGAAGCGCGTCGCCTCCAGGACTCTGACGTTGCCTGCCCCGGCTCTGCACGCCGCCGCGCGGCCGATATCGTAGGCCGACGCCACGTCCTCGATAGGACACGAGCCTGTGGTGGACAGGGTGTAGGACAGGCCGAGATCGGTAGCGACATGGGCGACGGGGAGCTCGCCGCGCGGATGATAGATTTCATTGATGCCGACTGGGGCGATGCCAAAGAGGGCTAAGACGTCCTGGCCGAACAGGGTGGTGCGCGTCCATCGGTCGTTTGTGTCGTCGAGCTGGCACGGCACAATCTTGTGGCGGAAGAAGGCCTGGCGATTGGCGAGGTGGGTGTGGGAGAGGCCGGCGTTGGATGAGGCGTTGAACCAGCCGTTCTCAGTGAGTTTCTCCTTGGCGAGTTGTTCAAGTTTGTCAGCATCTGAGGTTGTGACTTTCCTGCTATCCAGGACGGGAAGGATAGGGTTTAAGATACTGACGGGTATTGGACAAGGGCACTTGCCCCTCGCTGGGCTTCCAAAGATTCTTGCGTTGCTACAAGTCCTAGATAAGGGTGTCACGATGCTCAATATGGGGAAGCATTTGGGTCCGACATGGTGCCTTTACAGGTCCAGTATGCGGATTAATGAGGGTGGGCGTCTGACTGCATGGTATCCGGTTGCATGGTAGAAAGCATGCTGAATTTGCCCGTTTCTTGAGGATCGTAATATATTCATCAATGACGGTCATGGTACCGGCCATGGCTTCGAGATTCTGGTGCTCGGCTTATTCGCGCCTTCATGCTGGTGAAGTAGTTGTGACGTTGAATGGGACAGTCTTATTCATACAATGTTCCCTTCGCGGTTCCTGATCCCCGACAACTAGGGTGAAGGCCTTAGCAACCACCGCTAGCAATCAAATATGCGTATCAGGAGTTCGTCTATTCTGAATATCAAGAATTGAGGGTGCTGCGCGTGATCCGGGGGTGCATAGCGACTGGTCTGACATAGGCTAGGCTCGCGAGTCCAGCTTGCGATCCAATTTCAACGACAATATCGTTGGCCTCGGGGTCAAAAAGCCCATATACTTAAAGAACAGGGATCCGAGAGACTTGTATCATATTCTTCGACGACCTTCTATGCCCCGTGGCTGAGTTACCATGACCTGGCAACATAACCTTTTGATCACGCCGTCTGAGGATCCGAACATATCGATATCCCCTGTTCCGCATTCTTGTGGGTCTAAATTTCGGAAAAGGCTCGCAGATCGCGATGGGGATACCTCCGGGCTGGAGTATCTTGGGTTTTATCTCTTACTGCTTTCCCGGAGAACAAGGTTGAGATTCAGGAAGTCTCCAGAGCGACGTGACGGTCATGGTTCCTCGACATCGTCTCCTCATCGACAGAAGGCCGCGGTGTGCCTGTTGAGGAACACTAGATGCAGCGATATTGACATAATCTTGCAGTGAAGATACTCAACTTTATTTTACAATGGATCCAACAACGATCAGGATGTTAGTCTCCGTCATACAGAGGAATGCTCTCGACGGCCGGCATTTATCACTAGCACAGTATCAGTGAAAAACGCAATGACGAGGCTGTTCATCTGCAACCACAGTCATGGCACGGTGCATCCGTCATCCAGGCGTTCGATGCCATAAAACCTTGACTACTTTCTTATTCGGAGCAGAGCACATCTTGGGGCCGTGCAGTCACCTCATCTGCCACTGCTACTCCCATGCAGCCAAATAGCACCGATCGTCCCGAGTGAGGCCGGCTTCGCAGCAGCATCAAGACGACAATCAATGCCGTTCAAAGACTTCTCCATCAGCACTGACAAATGGTCACACCGACTGACAGCCTACGCAGTGGCTCATCCTTGGCTCCGCTACAATAGCCTGCAAGGCTGGACATCGGCTTGAAGAAGAGGCCTGTGCACCATCAAGAGCAACAACCCCTGGTTGAGAGAACGACATCAGCGATGTCGCGCGTTTGTTCAGCCCGTCTCCCTACCATCCTGCGTGCAACCTGGGTACATGTCGAACCATGTCTCCTCCATTCGGCCTTGTTTACTTACCCCTCGATCCTGCATTCTTCACTCTATTTTTCTTTTCCCCTTTTTACGTTTGCTTTCTCCCTCGCTCACCTCTCACCTCTCACGTTATCCCGGGCCTTTTCCGTATTCAACCCCAGCTCACCGCCTCCAGCCTCCAGCCTTTTATTTTTCTTTGGGTACGACCCCCCCGGCCGCCCCTCACCGCCGTCTTCACCGCCGCCCTCGTCCCGACGTCCGCGCCCCCGGAACCGGCTACCCCTGCATTTCCAAACCCTTACCCAGCTCCATCCCGCTGCATTTCCCCACCCTCCTCTGGGTCTATCATGGCCTTTTTCTCGCCTCCGCCATTGCGCCCCCTCGCGTCACCCGGGAACCACTCCCGTCGCCCTCCGAGCGGACGAAAGTCTCAGCCGGGTCGGCCCCGCGCGGCCCTCCACTTGTCAATAGCCTCGCCTTGAATCCAGTCTAGTCGTCCACCAGGTTGTCTAGCTGGCTGGCTTGCTGGCGGGCTGAGGCTGGCTGGCGCCGGTGGGGGGGACGGGCACCAAACTCATGCGTTCCAGCTCCGCCACAGACACCCGCACGACCTCGTCGTCGTTGCTGTGGGAAGAGGAACAAAGAATAAGACCCCGGCCTTCGCAAGCAGCGGTGACCAAAGCCGTCCCATGACGTCGACGCAGCGGCGTTCCGTGGTCCGATCGAGAAGAGGGGATGGCCCTGGCGCGAAGGGAAGGGCCCTTGTCCTCTTGGCCCGGGGAATTGGTTTTCTCTGCCGGGAAGGTCCCTATCCTGGCCTGCTGTCTATCAGATCAAGCTCCTGCTGTTGTTTGTAGTCGAGGCGGCTGCCGGCTGCTGTCGTATTCCTTCTTTTCCGCTCAGCATGTCTCGTGTAGATGAAAGGAAGAGAGACGGATGCTGGGGCTTTGCGGCTGGCTGCGATCGCGAACAGGAAGGCGATGGGTGAAAAATTGTGGCCAAGACCCTGCCAACGCCTGCCGGGCCATGTAGGTACCAAGCACGCCGGACAGGGAACGGGGTTCGTTGGTGAGCTGTCACACATGTCGATCCCCGGCCTCGCGGTGGCCCGGGCAGCAGCAGTCGCACATGTACCACTGTAGCCATGTCGGGAGCCTCCGGCTCACGGGCAGGCGAGGCAGGAAAAAAGAACGCTAGATTCACGGGACGATCGTCCGGACCCGGCTCGTGCAGCAGCCGGGATGACTCTGGGTCCCCGATGCCGGCCCCCGCTCGTCCTTGCTTTGCTGGCTGGCTCGTGCAGGGGATGGCGTGCACTCACCTACGACGTCGGCATCGGGTCCAGGCAGTAACAGTAGGGGGAGGGGGCACTTGAAAAGACTTGTCACATGCAGCTGTAGCGCCATGTACTGGAGGGGTGGAGGAGAGGGGGGGGGGGGGGGGCTTTAACATTCATCGTTGCTTTGGTCGAAAATGATTGCAGCACACGAAACACGGAACATGTGACATCTCATCTGCGAGGGACAGCAAGGGTCGAAAGGAAGACCATCGTTGATGCCTGAAGAGAGGCCTGACATGTCATTGACACCCAGCGGTGAGCATCCGCCGTAGTCGATGCACTCAAGTCGGAATGCCACCATATCGCTGTTCAGCCCATCGCCTCATGACACGCGTCGACGCATGTCGGCCACTGCTAAAAACGGAAGAAAGAAAAAACTTTCCGCGGTAGCCCCGGTTGCATGTGAGTGCATGCATGCCCACGTTATGTGCCGTTTCGTCTCGGACGCGAACGCTTCTCCTCCTAGAGCTTAAACTCGTAAAAGTCCAGGCCCCTGGCGCCGACGTCGACCTTGAACAAAGCACCACCGAACTTCCTCTGCTCTTCGGTGCCCTCGTCGCCCTCGTCCATGCTGGCGCTCGTGCAGTAGAGCTCTGTACCCACAAACTGCGTGCAGGTAATGTTGGGCGTCGGGAGCCTGATCTCGCCAACGACCTTGCCCTCGGGCGAGATCTTGAGGACGCGGCCCTCGCCGTACACGGCGTGCCAGAGGTTGCCGTCCGTGTCGACGCGGAAGCCGTCCGGGTGGCCAGGCGTGGGGTGCTTGTAGAAAACACGGTGGTTGGTGTAGCTGCCGTCAGCCACGTCATAATCCCAGGCGTACACGGTGCCCTCTGTAGAATGCGTGTAGTACATGGTCTTGGCATCCGGCGACCAGCCGATTGAGTTGGGGATCGTGAGGCCCTCGATCACCACTTCCTGCTTTTCTTTGCCGTCGAAGCGGTGAAGTGCCCCTAGACAAGACAATCAGCTTCAAACTCAATGCAGAAGCGGGGGTGGGATGGCCAGATATGCCTGCAGAATCACACCCGGCCTGATGTTTGTGATAAGTGGCCACATGAGTCGAGGCGCGACAAGCAAGTCATCCCTGGTCCACAGAGAGCAAATACCGTACGTACCTTCTGGTTGAAAATCACCAAATCCGAAATCTGTCATGCTCCCGACCCAGAAACGTCCGTTGGGATCAATGGCGCCGTCATTTGTGCGAATACGTTCGGGGTTGGCGATGCGCAGCTTGTCAATGTACTCATATTTGCCAGAAGCGCGGTCTAGCACCGCAAGACCGTACTTGAGACCAACGAGAATCTTGTCCTTTGGGTCAACGCCCTCGATGTCAGCTGTCACGGTGACGGCCACATCAAGCTGAAGAGTCTTTAATGAGTCGGGCCCAACGTCAATGTCAATGCTGTGCAGCTTCTTCTGCTTAATGTCCACCCAACGCAGTGTGTTTGTCTGCTTCTCGTAATAGGGACCCTCACCCAGACCACTGTGCAGGTGAAGGTAAGGCTCCTTCACCGTCCATTCCTGAAAAGAAGCCATGGTAGCAAGGTTTGTCTCTGGGAGATCTGATGTGTGACGGCGGGGTTGTCGGGTGGTTAAGATGCGCTGTCTCAAAGAGGGGTTGCAGACGAGGGGTTTATCTGCAACCAGGCCGTCCTGCGAATGGTGCACCTACTATCACTGTGATCTCAGCGGTCCAGTGAACATAGGATGACGTCGGCGTGAGGTTTTGTACGGGTGTTTACCTTTTTCTGACAATTGAAAGATTGAAGCCTGGGTTGGGAAAAAGGTGGGCAAAGTAGCTTGTTTTCTTGTACCATCTGCAAAGACGAGCGACGTGCCGTGACGCATCGGGAGAAGCAACGGAGCTACCGTGTCCATGACATTGCGTGCCTGCATATCCGTGTCGCAGCGATTTCGCAGCCGGGATGCGGGCCTACGGACCGGGCCTTTTATCCTGAACCGAACTTGGAGAGTGTTATCTCGCCCACCGTTCGCCTCAAAGCACTTTGCGAGGGACTGACTCCAAAAGGCGCTCGGATTCGCACATCAAGCCTCAAAGTTTGCATCTCAGCGACAAGTCTAATGTGTTGATGTGTTGGTGTGTTGCCGCAACCTTGGTCTTGTCCTATTTGTCAACGTTAGAAGAAGCTAACAGGATGGGTTTTGGTTGCTTTCCAGTGTGGGCCACTTCACCGTGTGCTTTCAGCAAAGACTCGGTGGAGTAGCTTTGAGCAGAGAGTAATGCATTCACGTGCTCAGGAGTACATGCGAGTGTAGCGGAAAATGACTCTGTCGCTGACTTGGGCATGATCCATCTACTTCCTTCTTTCGACTCACATGCCTGATATGTTCGAGTGCCAACAGGAAAGACTCATGTATCTACTATCCC